TACATGGTCGAATTTGAGAAATTGATACGAAGATTTACACGCGAAATCGAGTCTGTCGATAATTAACGGGAGGATAAGCAAGAAATATGTATGACACGTAAAAAATCACTTTCATCGCATTTATCTTAAATTTGTTTTCCCGAAAAACACAATGTGACAAGGATGAAAAAGTACAAAATGAGATTGAAATCGGTGATACGCGGATGGTGCGTCATTCGCATTGACGCGTTTTAGAGCACGTTTTCCAGGATTAAAGTAGTTGAATCTGACTGGATCGAGCTGACCGACGAATGCGGCTTGCACTTTGCTGAAATCGTAGCGGATAGGAACGAACATTCGTGATTGTCCAGATGGTTGCTTTATTTAGGTCAAGCGTCGAGAGCGCATCGTGCGCAAATGTATTTTGCGCGCTCGACAGATACCGATTGTAAACGCGAATTACTTGTGTATCGGCGGCGATGTTCTCGATTGATCGATCGATGAATCGATTGTGATAGGTAAATGAACGAGATAGTAAAGCGAGTAAAGCTTTTATCTGAGAATGGTTGAACGTGATTCTCGATACATCTCTAAATGCAAGAACATCAATTTTCAACAAAAATAGAAAAAACGCGCTAAGAAAAGAGAGATACCGAGAAACGTCTGCTTCTCTTCTATTTGTAAACTGCTGTCTGTTTTACACAAAGAAGTCTCTCGAGTTTGTATGAGTTTTCTGTTAAACTCGTACTTGGATAAGAAGGATCTTTGAGACCTTGCAGAGTATTTATCTTTTTACAATATATTCTTGATATCTTTGATCAAAATTTAACCATTTTCTAAGGAATTTTTAAAGGAATTTTAATCGACGGTCAATTTAAATTTATCGAAATTATTTTTCTATCATCTTTTTCAGTTTTTATAACTTTTTATTAGGAGAAGCGTGATATATCCAAAGATTAATTATCTCAATTTTTTATATTTTCAACTAATTTAAAATTTTGTAAGCAGACAAGGGTCGACTTTTTTAATATACATAATATAATTTTTCTGTAGCTTTAGAAATCTATTCGCGTTTATTCATCAGCGTTACAAAGTACGCGAATTACATTAACCCGAATCCAAAACGCATTGACTCCGAAATGTATCGTGCGAGGGGCAAAAACGAAATCGATTTCTTTAGACGATGCTCTTTCCTTCGTTGGAGACGCGTCCAACTTATTCTAGTTTACATTTTACTCCCGTCGTCTATCGACATCTTTTATTCATTCGGGCGCACCCGAGTCGCAAAATCGCGTGACAAACTTCTTTAATAAAGTTTCAAATGAGCGTAACTCGAGCTATTGTCTCGTGCTACTCTTTTTTGGAAAGTTACATATTGAATTATCATCGAAGACGTCCTTGTATACGCTATAAGAAAATACTTTTTCTATTTGTGATAAACATGTAAACTCTAAGATTCACTGTAGAATCGCGTATCATATGATTAAAATGTACTGCGTGTAAAAATTTAAATCGTGTCTTACTAAATAAATTTGCACTTGCCGCTAGTAATAAAAGTTTTAGCAAAACTATATTTGATAAATTAATATTATATGAAATTAAATTGCATTAAACTTTCAAGTATATGCAAAATGAAAAATACATAAGACAAAGTACATAAAAAATGTTTCTAAAAAGAAGGTAAAAACACATCGCAAATACATAAAATAATGTCCATATTTCTATGCAACAAATAAAAATTATAACAATTTAAAATTTTAAGATACTAAATATTAAAATCCACTACTTACATATATTTGATATGTTTTACCATAAAATAAAAATTTGTCACTCACCAATGCATCGATGCACAACAACGGAATTGATTACGTAGATTCGGTTGATCTGTAACATAAAAATATAACATCTAAATTAGAGGAATGTTCGAAATAAAGAAATCTTAAAAAATTATTATTATATGCATCAAATTTCGAAATGACGCGTCGCACAGGCATATTTCGTTGATATTTACAACTATTCTTCGAGAGTATAAATAGACCACAATCCGGCATCATTAATTCTTCTGCGCTTATTTAAAGGCGGCCCAGATCGTAATGACTATTTAAGCGAATCGAGAATTTCAGGAATTCTTTGTCGAAGAACACTGATTTCAAAAGTTCACCGGCTTTCATACAGCGGTTAACCGACGTTAAAAGCACTTTGCGTATGCTCGTGTTATCGATCGACACATAGACGCTGCTTTTGCTACGCCCCGATAAGCGATGTCGTCGACAAGGAAGCAAAATATATAGAAAGAAAAGATACATATATGTAGGATGTCCCAAATCATAAAATGTCTTTTAATAATAGCAGATTTTCTCTGGTCAATTTGAAATAGATTTTTTTTTTTTGCAAGTTTTTAATATTTTCCATCATATATCTTGTTACTAAGCTAGTACTGAAATTAAAATTCTATTAAATTTCATCTGAAATTAATTGAAAAATGTGGTTTTATTAATCTTTTAATATATAAAGTATATAAAGTTTAATACCAGTATAAATGTTTAATGCTAGTTTAATACCAGTAATAAAGTTTAGTTTGCAAAAAGCCCTTTTTTCCGTTTATAATTCCTGGAAATTATTGACGACTCAACATTTTTGCTAAAGAAAAATTGTCTCCAAATTGGCCAGAGAATTTACTATTAAAAACATTCGATGATTTTGAAACATCCTGTGAAGGCGCGAGTTCTTAGCGGTGGAGAAATGAAGAGAACAAGAGATTACAAAGAGAGAAAAGGCACGAGCGATAAAAACGTTGGATATATAACAAAGTGTACCTCGCAGAGTAAAAAACAAAACGTCGGAAGATTTAAAAATCCAAATTCGGATTTAGCGAGAAATCCGGAAAAGAAAAAGCTCCGCATCAAGACCGCAGAAAAATGAAAGCGTCCATGTATACAAGGGATGGAGGAAATGCTTCAGCACTGTTAACCATCTCAGGGGAAAAGTGGGATTAACCCAGGGACCGTTGTCCCAGGGTTATCATTCGTTGCACAAAAGCCGTAAGGCACGCTGTCCGGTTATTTCGGTCAATCCTTGAAGAGGAGGCCGCCCGGAAAATATTCACATCGATCTATTCCGCGTTGACCTTTCTCTCTCTCTCTCTTTCTCCTTCTCTCTCTTCCTCTTTCACATATACATAGATTCTCACGCGCATACACTTATACGCGCAACGGGAACAAATACACTGTCTGTATGAAACGCCTCAAAGTGCGCGCCTTCCGAAGGCATAGAGGCCAGGTCAACCGCATCGCTCTTCCACGCCACAAAAGGGCGCAAAACGAACCGTCTGTCCAATCGGCCAGACGCGGGTTATAAATACCGAGATGAAAATCGACGCGCCAGCTCGGCATTTTTCGACATTATAAATAAATTTCTGACGGTCGATCCGATTCATATTTTCAGCTGATTGACTACTTGTCAAGGTAACATGTGAAAGGGCGACTTCCGGAAAGGCTTCCTTCCCGCTTGTAATTTTGCATAATTCTATGCTATATCTATTCTAATTGCGATCGATGCGAGCCAGCTTCCCATAACAACCTCCTCCGCAGATTCCCTATCGCCGAAGGATAGCCGTTCATTCTAAAGCGACGGAATCTGCCAAATCTTGTAAATTTTGACAGGGAAAGACTGCGATAAGTGTGACAAATTTAATCCGTGCCAGAGATACGCGGAAATTTATATATCATATATCCCGCGATATATCTCGTGATAACTCGAGTATCTTCTACATGATATCTTAACATTCAAATCGCTGAAATAATTATATGTATATCTTTAACCTTTTTAATTTTAATATAAATTATTAAACGATACGAATAAAATTTTTCCTAACGGGAAAAAGTGTTCACTTTAATGAGATGTACGGGCTATCTACAAGAAAATAGAAAAAAATCTTCGCTATCCAAACACGCGATCTTCATGGCAGGCAAGACAAGTTTTCTACTCGCGCAATATTCGAGATAAAAAGATACGGAGAGGATTAGCTTTGTTGTTTCCATAATACGCTGACGGTAATGAATGTTGCTGTTTCGTTTTACACAAACACGTACCTAGATCCTTCGCGGCGATATGAGTAATAAGATTTAGTATTACGACGTTTTGCGTTAAAAGGCAGAGACCAACTTTCTTCCCCCTTTCCCTCCCCCCTCTCTTATTCTGCCAGCGCCATTGTGCTTTTTATAACCACGATGCGCGTAGCTGAAGATTCGCAAAAACAAGACGCGTCGAGGCAAGAGACATTTACATGAAAGAAACGTAAAATTCTAGGTTGCGACGGAATCTCATCTTTAAATCTTTAGATTTAATCCGCCAAGAGACTAAGCTCTCTTACGTCGGCGTGGCAAACCGTGTCGCCCCGAAGCGCGACGTGACAAATATATACGTTATTTACATAAAACGCGCATAAAATCATGAGACGCACGATAAGATCTTGTGTATTCAGACTCCGAAGTTTAATGTGGAAGAGAGTCAAGAGGGCGCGAAACACTCGCCGAGAGAAGCGATTTGACCGGAAGCATTGAGAAATCATAACGTATGAAAGGAAAGCATTGTCCGAAACACAACTTGATCGATATTTGTAACAAAATAAGAATGTAAGAATTATTATTTTAAATGGAGATGTGATGAATTTATGTCTCTCATGAATTTAATCCGGACAAGAGTTACGCGCTCTCGTTTGCCGCCTACAAAGAGAGCGAAAATGAGGTACGAGAGAGAGGAGAAAGAAATAACACAAAATATTTCTACCCTTTATTCTCTACCTCGCATAATATAATATTTAATTATACGACTGTAAATTGCCACGGCACTTAACTGTTCTCTCTCGTCGACAAAATAGTTTCCATGATATGTCATCTCGTACTCTCGCACATCTTTTTTCTCTCTTTCTTTCTTTCTTTCTCTCATAACACCTGCGATCTCGTATTTTTTGTGTCGAAAAATTACTCGCGTATAAAAGAAATGACATTTTTACTTTTCAGAGCCAAAAACCGAGATTCTGGGTGCGCCGGATCTGTTCATCAATCGAGGTAGCACCATCAATCTCACGTGCGTCGTCTTACAGAGTCCAGAGCCGCCCGCCTACATTTTCTGGAATCACAACGATGCGGTAAGTCTGATGCGCGGTTGATCCATTGTTGTTCCCATTTCCGCAGCATTCGCGACGCACTACGGGACAACTGAACACCCCAGGCTTAAGCGTGCGAAGTTTACGCGCGACGAATAATGCACAGAGAGAGACGCGGCTGCAATATCGCGCGATTAGCGCGACCTAGATTTATTACTGACACGCGCCCGACTCTGGCCAACGTTGACTTTGTGCACGGATAATTAATGATGATCCTACTTCTCCGGGATATATATGTATCCTAATATCGCGGAGAAGGCAGCGCGTCGAATAAGTTTCTGCTTCTCGCACCGCCGCGAGAAGCCAAGTTTCCGCGAGATGAAATTTTCAACGCCGCGCCGGCTGAAACTACCATCTCCCTTCGTCATGTTTATTACGCGTGCACAATTGCTCGAGATTATTATTGTTGTTGTTGTTTTGCTTCCGTCGTTATGTATTACATTCTACAATCTTTTTCGTTATTAATTTCAACGAAAAAACGAGTCCGAAGTAAGTACATATAAGTACCTATAATACGTAAATGTGATTTACGCCTTTGGTTAAAAAACATAGATTTTTTTTTTAGAGAATAGTTAATTTATTAATAGTGCTCAAAAAAGTTAGCATAGGAACTTTTTTAAGATTCTTATCCTTTTGTGAGAAAATATAGCGTGTTTGTTAATAATTAATCATACCGCGTTTTTTCCATCCGCGCAATCCCGAGAGAGCCGATGACAATACGAATAGCGGGAAATTCCGAATGGCTATCTAAGATCCAATCTGCCTTTCTCAAATCTCGCTACGATAATAGCGAAGGTAAAGAGGTGCGTGATAAATGGCCGTACAGAGGCGTCGGCGAAGGTCGTTTCTAATTAGGTACCTCGCCTGGAACTCCAGGAAGTCGAACAGTTCCGATTAGGGCGCTGATAGCGGACGGGTAAGCGCACTTAACCACCTGCTGTCATACAAGAATGTTGAGCGGCTTGAAACGTCGCTAAGAATTAATCGAGCGGCATTTGCATCTTACGAGGCGAGCCGACGTATATAATTCCGACTGTAAAATATTTTCACCGCTTAATTTCGGCCGTATATGTTTGAAGAGATACAGGACAATATTTGCGCATTTATGATGAGCACACACGCGGGATGTGTTACACGTTTTCACGTATATTTATCATAATTAAAATATCGCGCGCGCATTTATGACAACTATTAAACCGACCAAAAATATGCTGTAAAAACTTTTGAGTTTAAGCTCTTAAAATATGCGGTACACACAGGAATGCAAATATTCTTGTAAAGAATTATTTTTCCCGCAAAAATTTTTTCCCACAAATATTTCACGAGCCATTTAAGATGATAAAGTATGAATGAAGAAAATACTATACGAATAAAAATTTAAAAGAGAAGATATTTTCTTTTTTTATATTTATTCGTATAATGGAATCTATTATTCTATTCTTTCAAACTCGAAATTCCCACGATGGAGATTAGCTTCTTAGCATACGATAACAAAGTTTTTCTAGCGGACGAATTAAGTATGCGCGCGCACAAAGGAAGATCATAAAACATTCCGACGACGACGACGGTGGCAGCGGTGGCGGCGGCTGTTTGCGAACGGTTGACCGGCCAATAAATTTTGATAATGTCCCAACTAGCTGGTCCGCCGCTAAATCGTGAGAGTCGTGGCAAAATTGGTAACGGCACTCAGGAGGTTCCATTAGACGCATTAAGTCTGACCGAAAGCTTTGGGACTCGGCTGGGCGAGCAACGTAGAAACAACGCTCGCTCGCTCACCTTAAAGAGGACTCCGTCGTGCGTGACTAACGCGCGTGCAGTTTCGAAGGGTTCTGGACCATAAATGAGCCGAGAGGGAATCCCAAATCCCAAATCCGCGCAATACTATTCCGTCCTCTCTCTCTCTCTCTCCTCTTGTAAAGCTGACCGTCGTGGAAAATATTGATAATGTGCCGTACGCGATTAGCTTAGATCCAGATTTATCAGAGCCGAACCACAACACACGTTGGCTCTGCCGTATTATAATTAATACAACGATCGTGCCACCCTGAACGGAATATCGCCTGCTACGTGATCGCCGAGAAAATGCTTCGTATTGACTATTTCATCTTATCGAGAAGCGAATATCGAATGTTAACGGCAAACTTGGAAACATTATTCATGTTTGCAAATCGAAACGAGTCGTTATCTTTGAAGTAGCCTAATACGAAGATCCTCTTAAATATTATCGCATGCACTTGCGAAGGATTACGTGTGTGGATCTCCGCTCATCTCAAGTAGCAGCGGGTCTCCGGATCGTCCTCTTTAAATATTTCGTCAGCGCTGCCGATAAAGTGCCTGGGTAAAGACATCGCATAGGTTTCCCGTGGGATCGATTAGAAGGCCGGGCAAAATAACCGCGTTACGATCCGGTAATCGTGATCTTGCGCGTTCCATAATAATGATTCATGCGCGTTCGCGGAAGATGCCGTGATGGCCCCTGGACGTGATGAACCCCGTGGTCGCTACGAGCGATAAGGGAGCGCGAGGAACAATCATCTCCCCTTTCTACCTCCTCCTCCTTCTCACCAGAAATCGTCCCCGGGGAACCGACCAAAATTCCCCTTCCGATAATAAGGTCGCCCTCTCTCTCCTCCCCCCTCTTTCTCCTCTCGGATCGATCCATCGTGCGCGCGAAACATTTTCCGGCCGCAAGGAATCCACCGGAACCACCCGGGCGCGTTTGCTTTCACGCTTCGATACACCTTATCCCTTTGATTTTGATTGAATTTCGTGCCGGCGTCTGTTGTGACGACCGCATCCCCGGAGCGACGCGGCGTCGCTTATCGATGCGCGACGAACGATACGACACCTCTAGATAGCGTCTCTGTATCTCTCTTTCTTAAAAATTGACATGTCCCAAAACGCACGGATGATATTTCGATACATATTGACATTACGTTAAAAATCAACGGAAAAAATTTCTACTCCGAAAATTTTTAAGAAAAGTAAAAAAGAAAAAAAATAAATATCTCGTTAAAAATTCAATATTAATTATTTTTTACGCTAACAATCAAATCACATTTCGATCTAATCTCATTTCCGTTGGCTCCATCGTATGTTCCGCTTCTCGAATCAACCCGAATCGATCGGTTCATCTCGAAAAAATCTCCCCTATTGAGAGATCATTAAACACGATAACACATTCTGACTTATTTATATGTCAATTGTGGGAAAATTGCCAGAAGAAGAAAAAGGAGAAAGCGCTGCCAGATTGGCACAGATTCCGCGACAGGAAGAAAAGCACATTTCGCAAATTCACGGTCATTGCTCGCGTCGAAAGTGACAGACGTATCGAAAAAAAGTGCACGCAAATGAACTATAATTATAATTTTGGCTACAATTAGTTGCTATATATCCGCGTCAGACCTTGTTCTGCCACGTAATCGACCGGATAGTGTCCAAATAAAAAATCGGAAGCGCGACTTTTGACGTTGTATTAACTTCGCGCATCCCTCTTGTCGTTCTCCTTCGGCCCGCAAGTAAAGCGTTGCTGCTGTGAATGGAGAGATCTGGATCTAGGGGAAATCGTTCGATCCTGTCCAAACAGAAGGGTATAAGATGCGCAAGATAAATAGCATCGGATTTATGTACCGCCTATAAAGTCCCGGGCTCATTTTCTGCAACGAACGCACTTTTCGTCCTCGTGTAAACACATTTCCGAACCGGGTGTGATCTTTATTTCGTTGACTCACGTATACGAAATGAGAGAGCGTCCCTTAGCATGGGCCGAGTGCGTCGACCGGACGCGTGCGATGCGGCCGCTTTTATTTACGGCTGTTTGCATGTGTCGGCTACAATTCCGGTGTCGAGTACCGGGAAAAAAAGCTGGTAACAAGTCGTCGAGAGTGCCGCTCGTGTTACGCTTACATGCGTGACACGCGCGAACGGAATATTTTTCTCTCGAAAAATGGACTACGATGACTCGGGCAAAAAACGAGCGAGGATAAATCGTAGATAGCTACTTAAAAGAGAGCAGTGCGTATGGTATAGATACAAAAAAACATAGATCGACTTGTCATCATTAACAACCGGTGAATATTAGCGAAATAAAAAATAATAAATCAAAGAGCATTTATTATTGATAAATTGGCGATTATTCGGACAAACACGTCTCTATCTCTTATAAGTACGAGAGAAAATACAAATCTCTCCGATCACAATGAAAAATTCGGTATTTTTTTCCACATAGTTTTTTTTTTCTCGCAAAGGATAACATCGGTCGACAGGCATTAATTATGCAAGGACGCGATTACACGGCTCGCAAATATTCTCTGCGGGAAATCGATTGATTACTTCACCCAGCCGGGAGATAACAAACTTATTATTTCAATACCAATGAGCGTGAAACGTATCAAGCATAAAATTTGAATAAATGAAAGAATAATGCAGTGAAAAGGTGATTCACCTGTGACGGTTTTCCTTCTCGTATCCTGTTTTTCCATAAATCTTCGTCCGACTTGTATGAGATATGTACGCTATTCGACATCATTACACTATTATACAATAATGTTACCGTTGTTCATGCAATACGGTGAAACATAAAAACGAGAGATCACGATGAGATAATCAATAATTAACGGACCGCTATTTTTCACTGCGCGCTCAACGAGTACTTAAATAGAAGATCTCGTCTCGAGAGTACTTCGTGGAGTAACGCAATGCAATTTTCCAGCGTCGTAAGGAAACCCAAAGTGAAATTAGATGAGGGGGAGGGAGATGATCGCCGAGTGTGTTGCGAGTCAAATACCGACCCGTTCTAATTTTCCGAGATGCAAGCGAGCACAAAAGCGTACCTTCGGGGCGTCAAAAATTACCGTAACGTGATATAGAGACTCGTTGCTGTCTTAATGAATATCGAACGACACGGAGTAGATAAACAACGATACGAATTGTTCGGTTAAATTTCGGGGAGAATTTTTCAGTCGGCCATTTTGCCGCAGATATTGAATATTTCACGGTAAACACGTGTCAGATAGCGGAAATACGACGACGACGGCATGACGATACCGTAGAATATGTATTTGTGCATTGATCGCGTCACACTTTTTGAAAACATTTCGCATTCGCTGCACTCATTTGGCCTGCAGTGCAGATGAACAGCAAAATCCCGAAATAACAACCGATTTCAACGTAACAATCGGCAACTTTGTTCTATTTTCGACGAAAAATACGGCAAAAGCGCGTGTGAAAAATTCACCCGAGAAAACCACGGATTGAAGGTCGGATTTATCAAAGCAAACGAAATGGCAAACGGGGAGACGTGAAAGAGACGACGAGAAGATAAGTAGAATGTCGCAAACGGAAATATTAGTGCGAGAAATAAATGTTCGATTATTAAATCGTAGTTAATTTTATCTCTTCTATTATCAAGAGTTTAAAATGTTTGAGAAGACAAAATTGTAATATGCATATCGCGTAATGTATCTAGGTGAAATGAATATAGAATTATAGGATAACTAAGAATTATGCAAAACGCGCATTAAATCTGGTTAGATAAATTTGTGGAGAATTGGTAGAATGTAACTTTTAGACCAATTGAAAAAGGGCGGTATGCGATAATACGCGATATGCAGTTTTATTTCGTATACTCAACTGCAAATGACACAATGCCACACTGTATAATTTCGTTTAATCCACTCGTATTTTATACTCTCTCGAAAGAGGATATATATATATATATATTTAAATTAATATAATTTGCATACACATGCACACACGATGTCAATCGATTTATTAATGAAATTAACAAATTAATATTCCGCGCAAATTTATTAAAAACTCATACTCGTTGCACAATATACGGCAACGATTATAACATGACTAGTGCATTCGACCGCTTTGTTAATAATTTCGATACGTTTTTAACAATCACGCCGCGGGTAATATGCGTTATTCTCTATAAAGTAATTGACTTTGTCCGTGTTTCGCAGTTTTCAACTACATAATGTACGAGAACAGCGATGGGAATCAACAGTGACGCGGAGTGAATCATTTTACAATAAACGCCGGCTTGAAACGACAAATTTGATAAATGATGAGAGAGAGAGAGAGAGAGAGAGAGGAGAGGGAGGGGAGACAAGTAAGAAGGGTAAAACTATGGATGGTACAATGGCGAAGATGCACAGAACGGAGGGGGTATCGTTATCTCGAAATGCGCGAGCGAAGGCTGATAAGACAAAAGTACTTAACCCATAAAGGAAAGGGAAAAGCGGGAAAATCATTCCGACGAACCATTGAGTGTGAGATGCTCCACATCTCGAGCGGCAATCCCGCGGGATACCGATTTCCGGTAAGAGCGTGTAATGAGGTTGACGAGGCCATCCTCCGCCTCCCTTCTCGCCTCATCGTGTAAAACTTTCGCACGCGTCAAAACTTGGGCAAATTACGAGTTCTATGAGACGCGCTGCGAAATTATCTAGCTCATTGAACTGCGCTCTCGCTGGCGATAACATCAAATAAAGAGAGAGATATATTTTTGCACATCTTATATATCTTAGAATTCTTTGAACAAAGTAAGAAAATTCAACGGCTTAATTTGCTACTAATGAGGACTAGCAGTAATTTTGCTATTTCTGTAATTTTCATCTTCTCTTTTTCAATAGTTGAAAAGCTCTCGCATATTATTAATTGTTTAAAATTGTGTAAAATATAATCAAAGAGAAAGAGAGAGAAAGAGAGCGAAGAATGTAAATATGTAGTTTAAATACAACATCCATTTATTCCAGATCGATTTACAGTCGCCAAAGTTAATCGGTGAGTAATTGGTCGCTGTTTTAATTTAATCGTCAATGCAGAGTCAGCACTTTATACGATTAATGAACTGAAAATTGGATATTATTTATCTATCCTGATGATCAAGTAGAATTCGATAAAAATCGATTCGATTCAAAACACATCGCTCGTCCAAGTAATTATAGAAATGTCATTTATCGTATATATCCGCGCACGGTATCGCGAACATGACGCGTAAAAAGCGGTACTATTAAACATTTCAATAAAAGAATACATAAATATCGCAAAATATTCACAAGAGCGATCACGCGCTCGATCAATATTGAAGACGCGATCGTTTATCGTTCACGTGCGCGAAGAAACTTGCCACGGATCGTAAAAATTTAAGGAATTCTCGAGACGTAAGTTTACGTTACGTATTTTCAGAGGTTCAACTCGGGCCGGCGTTGTTTGATTTTATGCTCGTGTATATGAACTGCCGGAAGGACGACCACACCCTGCGAAAACTCACTAATTTGCGAGTTGCGGCGAGTTGTAAAAACTCGACGAGAACTCAGTCTCACACATAGCTATCGGTATAAGAAAGTTTGATTTTCATAGGCGGCAGAAATGCATGTGCAGCTGCCGCGTGAGAGAGTATCATGGACGCATGCATGTGTCTGTATATCCGGCGCATTATTACGTAGGGTCCGACCGAATTAATATTGAACTTTGGAAACGAAAGTTTCCCGTGTTATCTGTTAGGCGTGCGTTTAGATAACGGAACGGAAGGAAGGTACCCGCGGCGCTTATCAAACTCGGCGACATCGCTAACTTTCCTCCCCCGGTTCGATTAATCGCACGCTTTGAAAACACGGCGGGGATAAACAACTCGGCGACCGATATTCTATTCTTATTCCCGGGGATTTAATGCGCGCGACAGTCCGGAAAGATTAAATCCTCCCGAGTATAGCTTATACTCGCGCGCATTATTCTTAATCGAAAGAAACTTCAAAGAGAAGTCTTTTATTCCGTTCCATCTTTCTTTTCTCAACGCAAGACAATTACACTTTGCATACAATTTCTTCGAATTGCCTTTTTACGAAAAGGAATTTGAGCGTGCAATATAATATAATACTTTAATAGCGTATTCTGGAGATAAAATAAAGTGAGAAATATCCGAAAATATCGAGGCCAGGCCACAATATTACGAATATTAATAATAAATGACAAGTCGTGTATGCACATATAAATGTAGTTACAAGTCTAAGTGCGCGATTTTTACGCATAATTTTTTTGGTAAATTCCCTAAAATTGAAATTTTGACATATTATAATTTTCAAGTGTAATTTTATTATCTTGACAAGAATTTCAGATTATCCTCTCTACAGAATCACGAGAAAAACGTACTTTGGCAAAACTTCTAAATTTTACATTAACCATTGAGGGAAGCGTGGCTTGTACGAAAATATAGCATGCAAAAGAAATTGAATTAATAATAAAGCATTTATCCTTGCCGAGATGATCGTGGAAGAGCACGACGCTCGAATTTCTTAACGTCGAAACACAGAAGTGAATATCCAACAACGTGTTGTTTGGGATACTCTACAATTCTCGCTCCCTTAAGAAGGCTTACGTGCCTACCTCAGACGGAAGCTGCTGTAAAGTTCCGGCTCCGCGGATTATTTATTTAAAAATCCTTCTCGGATCTTGCCGAGACTTTCTTCACTCTCTTCCTCTTCTCCTCTTTTGCCCATCTCTCTCTCTCTCTCTCTCTCTCTCTCTCTCTCTCTCTCTCTCTCTCTTTCTCCCTCTTTATTCCTTTCAACCTATGTGTACCAAATGTTGGACCCTACCAACCTCGCGTTAAAGCGACACTCGTGACGAGCGTCGTTGAGTGGAACAGACGTAGGATAAACACGACGTTCGTCGGAGGTTCGCAACGAGTACACTACTAGCGTTTAAGACGTCGCGCCCAATTTTCCACTGCAAATTCTCAGGTTTAAATAACATATAAAATACTGTGAAATATTTCAATTATTTTCGCGCGCGCGCGAGAGATTTATTTTTTTAATATTATATATGTAAATAATACAATATTTGATTTAAAACGATGAAATCTGCTCGAGTTAAACATTTTTATAGCGAGATATTGCTTCGAAATATTTTCTTCAATTTTTCAATATTTCCTATGTATAGAAAAATTCGAAAGATATTGATGCGGAATATACTCCAATAACTCAAATTAAAAACTATACAATGACACGCAATATTGCGTGGAGCACATGCACACATATACATATATGTATAAAACTCTTGTGCACCTGCCGCGGAAAATTCTCCAGAGTAACATTTATCCTAGAGAATATTCTCGTGGTATAAGTCGCCGCGCGGCGAAGCAATTTGCACCGAACGTTGGGACGAATCCTTCCTTCCTCCTCGTATCATCGGGAAGGAAGGGCCGTCTTACATCAGTATCGTACTTTACAATCTCCGATCCAATCGTGGATAGTGTAAAACGCGCCGGGAAAGAATTTCCGTTAGGGAAGAGAGGGAAAACGTCGTATTTTTTTCTCACCCTCCGCGAGTGAAGAGGAAGGGGAGAGGGAGAGTCGTCCTTCGACGGGCGTATCTCCGTCCGCTTCCTCATCGTCTCAATACCCATTGGGACCAGTCCAATAAAAAACTGTATCCGCCGTTGGTTAGCCGATTTCTCACTCGTCCCCTTCCTTTCGCAACTTCAACGTTCGACCCGAGAGATATCTGTCCGGCATCTCAAGACGATCGCTCGATCTCTGTTCCAGATAATCAGCTACGACTCGAACAGAGGCGGCGTCTCCGTGGTCACAGAGAAGGGTGACAGCACGACGAGTTTCCTCCTGGTTCAAGAGGCGAAGCCGTCGGACTCGGGACGGTACACTTGTAACCCCAGTAATGCTCAACCGAAATCGATCACCGTACACGTACTCAACGGTGAGTGATCGAAGATGCGAAGACGATTTCTTGCGAGGAAACGATCAGAAGAGACATTAAGAGTCTATATCTTAAAAACGTGTTGTCTTAAAAATGTTTGTATGAGAAGTTCCGAACAAATTTGGTGTTGCAATAATAATATTAATTTTTTACTTAGAAATTTTAATTAATTCACTATCGTTGTTCTGTCAGCTTTTCTTATGCTGATCCATATATATATACGCCTCATCTAAAGTTGGCAAATTCTCTCTTTTGGAAGAGATTATGCATCTTGCAAAACCGCAATTACACGGACGGGAAAATAATTAGCCAAATTGCAATCGACGGCGTTTCATTTCAGTCACGCGACGGAAAGAACAATGGTTGGGCGGGGAGGGGGAGGAAACGCGGACGGATGGGTAAACGCCAGGCGTGACGGGTCTTCAGAAAATTTAAGTGTTGCCCTCTGTTTCAGGAGAGTATCCCGCGGCAATGCAGCACGGCGGTCAGGCCAAGCAACCGAGGCTGTACTCTCTTCTACTCTGCCTGTGTCTGCTACTTTACTAATTGCTCCATTCCATCGCGCATTTTCGAAGGAAGAAGTCGGAGAGCACTTTAGAGCGAATGGGAATGTGTGTGAGTATGTATGTGTGTGTGTGTGCATTTATGTGCGTGCTGTGTAAGAGAAGAAAAGAGAGAGAGAGAGAGAGAAAGAGAGGTATTTTCGTCACACGGGTCGCGCGGAAATTGCCCAAGTGTCATGAATGCCATTGCTAGATAGGATGGTGCGACGAGGCGCATCCGACGAGGATGCTTTTGACTGTGCACCGGAACGATGACTCTTTCGGAACGACGACAACGCGCCCGGAAGGAACGGTGCGACCGAGCATTGCGACGACGCTTTTAACGCCGGCTTCGCACAGGCCACGCGATCCGGGATCGCGAATATACATGATACGATAATAATACACGTAAGAGAACACGCGCACAAATGCGTCACGATTACGAAAACGTAACACACAGGCATCGACGTACAGTCGATTTCATTAACGACGGGCGCTGCTTATTCGCGAATGAGCTTATACAGTTTCACGTTACAGAGAAAAGAAGAGTACGTTTATTCGACGAATAAGCCGTAGTTTAACGTCGGTGAAATTGCACAAAGAGCAGTTAAAATACGCAAACGAGAGAATATGATGTCCGGGATATCGCGTAGAAATCGCGAGCGTTTTCACTTCTCATTTAAATATTCTGACCTTTCATTTAAATAATCGGACTTTAAATAACAATCCTCTCTAAGTAAAGTACTCGCTGCAAAACATGACTTTCCCGATTCATTTGCATTTCATCAAAGACCTTCGAATTCCGATTTTTTCCAATTCAGAAAGATTCTCGAAACAATCGGCTCTCCTCTCTCCAAGTACGACGACAAATATCTCTGGCTCGAGAAAGAAGTGAATCTTCCGGGGATGGGGGACATGTACACACACATACACGGAGATGGCAAAAGATCGAACGCGCGGGTAGAGATGGCGAAAAGGGACAACGAGAAGATACGCGTCGCGAATGCTTGGCTTTCTCCGCGATTAATTCGAACAGACTCGAGGAGTGTCTGTCGACTCGCTTTCCGGTCGGCGAGGCTCGACGGCGACGGATGCATCGAGGAAGAGAAGAACGAATCCGTTGCCACGCAACCGCGGCTTTGACCGGTTTACGCTTCGGAATCCTCGCAACTGGATGACCATCGACGATCGACACAACGACCGATGTGTATACCGTTATATATTCTTCCACGACCATGCACACAAGAGCCTTTTGTGCGATCCTCGCAATTCTCATGTTCCAATATTGACACCGCCGCACTTCCGGCGACGAATGAGCGGTAAAATCTCGAGTCTCTATCGCCGCGATCGGCGGGTATTGCGGAAGCGATTATCGCGCAATCGAATCGCACGTGTCTCTCGACACTTTCCTCTTGTTTCTTTTTATGTTTTGCACAGCACGTTCTCCGTGGCATCTCTCGTATCAATCGACGCGCGATAAAAGTTCACACGATTCTCGATTGAAATCGGTAAGTAGCGTAATTTTTGTTTTATTATTCTTTAGTTTTGTATTTCGATTATAAGCAATCGTGCTTCTTCATACTCGCGGAACGTCGTCGACGTTTATTTAAATAAAACGGTGAAATTAGTTTATGCGAAACACTAGTCGGATATTGTGAAATTCAACAGCAATTAACATTTCTATACCGACAATTGTCATCAAGAGACAAAGCGAGATTCGCGCAGTGTATGACGATATTTGCATTAAATCCAATCGCGCGCGTTATCTCCGATGCGTTGTAAAAGTTCGAGGGAAAACAGAATTTTTTACATTACAAAGCAAGAGAATATTTATGCAGCGGGGAATTGCGTAAAGAAATCTTCTTCGACAAATTTTTTAATATTAATAGAATTATACAATCCAGAGCAATATTTCTAAAGCAATGTAAAATTCATTGTACCGTTCGCGCGAGATTTTAAGAGACATTTGACTGATATCTCTGTCATAAAGCAAATTAAATTTCGTGAACACACGAGAGACTTCTTTCTACGTTGGAATTAATAAAAATATCTTATAAAAAAGCAGCACATACATGAAGTGTCGGAAGCAGAGAAGAAAAGGGTTGAAAATAATACTATACAACGTGGAATTAAAATGAAATCCTATTCATTCAAATATGCAGAACCCTTCATTTTCTCTTTATAATATTCGCATTTTATATTATTTTTCGTAACAAGTACGTAGTACAGTGTTGGAAAAAACGCGAGATATCGCACGAAAAAAAAAAAAATAAATGGAATTTATTTTCCTACTCTTCGGTAGAGGAGATTTCTGTAGAAGGGGAGGATAATTAAGAAGAATTGGCCGTGCGTGCAATTTGTGCAATTAGCAGACGCGCAAGCGCAAGTGTTGATGAAGACAGCGCAACGAGAGCATCGTCCTAATCGATCAAGCCCGTGCGAGGAAGACGCGAGACGCATCCGATTCAATTAGCTCTCGCAATTTGCTCTTTTCAAGCAACCGCCCATTCGTCTTTGCCGGGCAGTCGTATCGGGAATTTCAAATATAATATCAAATTTTGCGCAACGCCCTCCCCCAGCGCGACCCATAATTCTCGCTCGCACTGTTGCTGTCCCATTCGTTTCTTACGCTGCCAACGTACTTCGTTGTTTTTCAGCAAAACACGTGAAAGACGTTCCACGGGAGTTTTTGCTTATTATATATCTTCTTCGGATTCTCTTCTCTCGGTTCTAAATTATTCTTAAATATTGAGGAAAGAAATTTGCATGATTTTTTACTCGCATTTACATATATCTTTATTTATGTTTGAGATTGATAAAAGTACAGTTTGAAAAATTGTGTTAAAAATCGGCATATTCTATGAATTTATCCCCGCGTCTCATTGAAATGCATAATGTTTTAAAGATGATTTTATCCAAAAAACAATTTGATTTTTCAAAAATTTATATAACTTTTTTTTGATACTATCAATTTTTTAACGTTGGAAATGAATAAAGAGTTTAAATATTCTCGTCCCTTGATTGATCGAGACGCGACTATTATAGTCGATTCGGTAACCGGTTTAAAACACATTTAGGAAGTTCTTACCGAGGATGGCGTATAATTCAGTACGACCGCGTTTCGCCACCCCGTCGACGATGTTGCGCTCTCGTAACGATTAATAAAACTCGGAGCTGTCGCGAATGCGAACAGCGGAATAAAAGCAGACGGAACATATGAATAATGAATGAAAAAGGAAATACGGGGCAACATGTGCCGGTAGAAAGCGCGTGCGCGAACGCGAGAGACGAGCAATATCCGCGACGGAAGAACGTGATTAAAAAAAAGTTTCCAGCTAACAGTAATACAGTGGCTCGACTACGCGTAAGAACATGCCTTTTGTCGTCGTCGTTGACCGGATAATCAAGATCCTGTCTCTTCGGTCCTCTTTCCCCCCTTATTTCTCGGGCAAAAAGAGCGACCCTTCGGAGGTAGACGTTTAGTGGACTTTTCTTCCCGTCCGCGGCTGGTCGCCTCTCCATTCTTTCTCCCGACCGAGGAAAATCGGGTGGTTCCGGATTGGAAAAAAGCGCGGTCGTGGAACGAGAGAATAGATAGATAGATAGATAGATAGATGGAGAGAAAGAGAGAGAGAGAAAGGGCTGTGGACCGCAACGACGCTCGCCGATCTGCCTTCATTTATCAGGTTAAACGCGAGGTACACCGCATAATGTCGTCGGCGAGGTTCTCCAAGCGGATGTACGCTCTCGCTGCTTCTCTTATTCGTGCTGTCACGCGTACACATACGCACACATTAATCCGCCCTATGCCTCGTGCGAGCATTGGATTAACACGCGGTCGATCGCATCAGCCGATCGGTGTTAATTCGATGTTTCATCACGACGAAAACTATATCACAGATAGTAGCCAGAAAAAGGGTTGAGCCGACGTATTACGCTTATTCGAGGTATGAAATTGCATCATGTGAATGTGCACGGGAAAATAAAGCCGCGTTGATGGATTAGGTTTTTCTTTTTTATCTTTCGCGACAGCAGCATAAAAAAAAATGCCATAGTGCAGTTATATACTTTCGATCTAAGGTGTATAACTTTATTTCATCGAGTAAATTTTAACATTTCTGTAGAAATTATCGTAAATTCATAAGATTAAGAAATTCATGCCGTTAAAACGCGACAAAAACCACTGTAATGACTTTCATAGCGTGAAGGAGAAGGTTAAGGACTCTTATCAGAGTTCCTCGAATTTTCTACGCGAAAGAATCGATTTGATTTATGTACGGACATGATTGCGAGGTATTGTAATAATTCAAGATCGCCAGCCGGCTATACTTCCGTTGTAGAACACCGTATTCTTCGATACATTTTCAACCGCGAAGAGGATGTTCTGTCGGGAGAGGAAGGGAGGAAGGATGAAAAGGGGATAGGAAGGGAAGGAGAAAGACTAGGAAGTGAACACGACGCAGCGCAATATTCAGGGGTTCGCGTGCAACGCGCGCCTATCGTCGTTCCCTGGTATTTCCATCCACTTTTATTCTTTACTATAATAGCATCCGACATGGAGAATGCCGGATTCGTGACCGGCAAGCGAGACTCTCCATGTGCTCGCGCTCGGTCAGACGGACGTGCTCGTTTTTCCCTTCCCTTCTCTTCCCTTCCCTTCGCTTTTCCGGGAGCGCAGTTCTCTCCGCGTACGTGCAGCTGGCTTTAATTAAAAATGAGCAGCATTTTTTCTCGTATTACGTCAACGAGCTTATCCCCTACTCGAGCTAACCGTTATTGTTTCTCATTTCTGACTGTTATTCCGCTGGCCCGTCTTCACGGATTATTGAGCCGCGCAATTTCTGGTAGTCGAACGACGTGAACGGAATAATTGTAAGTAGCTTCAGAAAATGCAAACAGCTGCACACGATTATAATTAAACTTGAATGAACAATAATAATTTTTTTATTCGAGTATTTTGTTTTAATCACAAAGATTTTTTTCACGCAGTTATTGTATCATATAGAAGGTTCATTGAAGTATTAAAAAAAAAATACACTTTCTACGACATCTTTATTCTTCGGCGCAAGCAGAGGATAAATCGCGAATTAATCATTATCTCTCACCTTTATAAAGACAACGATACGCGAATCGAATAAAGCTTAACGCGTTCATTTTCCAAAAGCTGCTCTCGCGTTCTACGTCGTGAGTATAATAATAAAACGCATCTTCTCGAATGAACACAATAAGAACGGAGGAACAGAATTGCTCTGACTTAATTTGCCGCTTGAATCAGCTTACGTCACCATTTATGTTAGATACTTGGGAAGCGTCCGCGCGCAACATCGACCTCTCCGAAGAGCGCGCCGCTCATTAAGCGCGCAAAACTAAACGTCGGTATAACTTCTAGCTCCGGTTACAAGATCGTTACCGTCGCGAATTAGAGTCGCGTTACAAAGCCGAACTCTCATTCGCTCCCTCGCAGCGAACGACGTCGTTGCGCGAACGAAGCATTGTCCGAAGATAACCGAGAAATAACTGAAGCCGAGAAAACCAGTAAAGACAATCATCGTCTATTCAAAGAGAGAGAGAGAGAGGGAAGTGGGAAGACACAGCCTCTCATCTCTTTCCCATATTACAACCGTACTTCCCGGTCATTTAAGATAGGCAACTCCTCCATCGCGACCAAAGTAATTCGACGCGAGAGCATTTTTCTCTCGCGAGAGAAAAAATATCAAAGAATGCGCCTTTTGGCTCGGGGCAACGTCGTATGCATTAGCTTTTCTACCTGATCCAGAGATAAAAACTGATATATTTACGGCCGTCGAATTTTCCCGCGGCGCGAAATATCCGCAGGTGGACCCGCGTCGGTTTTTTTTCCCCTTTATTTTTTATAATTCGGACGCGAGCGATACGCGGTTGTGGATTAAACGTTTCGTTTTTACCCGCCCTTCCACGGACGGATGAATCTATGTCCGCTTAGAAGTTTAGGGTTTGTAAGGTAAAACTTTATACCAACACTGGAACACGGAATGGGACTGCCAAAGCGGACCCGCGGGCACGTATACGAGAGAGCGTACATGTCCTACCTGTCCACCTATCTATCGGTCAAAATGCAATTTCGCGCATCGAAAAAGTCGCGAGCAGCCTCGGTGAATTTTTACACAGCCGGTCGCGCACGGTCGACGTGCTCGCGCGCTTGGTTTTAATTTACAAGCTAAATAGTTGAATCAAAAAGCGGATTGAATCGCGCGCGCGGTAGTCGCGGTGTGCATTAGTATTCAGCGACAACCGCGCGCTGTGGATTCCGCACTGCTGCGAGGCCTGCATTTATACTGAGAGAGGGTGTTGAGCCCGTCGAACTGCGACTCGGAGTGCACGCGAAGCGGACGAACGAAAGGAGAAAGAGCGCGAGAACACGCTGGAGGAAAAAAAAAAGGAAAACGAGTAATCGTGTAACAGCTAACGTGGAGAGGCGCGATAGACGCGCTCGGAGAGCGGGTGGTTGCCGTTTTTCATTCGGATAGCGGGATACGCAAATAAAAGAAGCGTGCGCGTGCCGCGATTTCGTTATTTCACCCCTCTCCCCCCCCCTCCTTCTTCAGTATCAACGGTGCATGGTCGACCATACACCAACGAAGGAAATTTACCCGAGTGACGAGTCAATATCAAGAAAGGGAGAAGCCTGATTATGCGTTTTCCGAAACCAACTGTCATACGCGATTAACAAAACTAGCGAAAAGAACAACAAACGAAACGCCATTATTCGACAGATCCAATCGCTTCTATATTAATGCGATATTTCTACTTTGTTACTTTTAGATCTTTTCTACTTTCAATTGTTTTCTTTCGATTCAAGATAATAGCAACGTTTCTCGCGCCGCATTAAAGCTACAGGGGCCATATTCTCGAAAAACATTGCATACAGCGCAGCTGAAAGTATCGGAAAATAGTTGCGCAATGATAAATATCGTATGCGATACACTCAAAAAAGTGGTATTGCAACTACAGCAAAAATTTTCTGGGTGCGCAAAATTAACTGAGGTACATAAATGATTAGCAAATACTGTGATATCGCATATGTTTCGCATTTAATCAATCTAAGTGACAGAGACAGAATTTATATCTGAACTGTTTGTGAAATTTAGAAAGAATGTTTTTCTGTGGCGCCTATCCATGTTAAGGCCAATCATACTTGTTATAAAGTTTGGCTGTGGTACACAGAAAAAATTAGCGGCAAGAAACAAATGAATATATAATCCTCACATCTAACATATTTGTATAACGCGCCCAATCTATCTAGCTCTTTTAAACAATTTCTCTCAATTTTTCGATGCTGCAGTTATAATTGGCAGTTATATTTCTCACAAAGATCGTTCTAGCTGTAGTATCGAAACTCATATTTATCCAATGCAGTGATTAACATTTGGCAATGGGACCTAAATTTTCTAGAAGATATTATTAGAATATTGCTGCTATAAATTCTATATGTAACAGACAATATTCTAACAGATACAAAAAATAGCGATAAATTTTTGTTGTGACACCTAGAAATCTACCTATATCAGCAAGACATTTTTTTTGAGTGATATTTTTGGGGAATATGGGGCCAGAACTGATGCGAACGAAGTAAGGGAAAAAAGCCAAACAGTGTCGTACAATATCTTCGTCCAATAATCCGAAAATTCAACTGTCCTATATACGTATACATGGTTTTTATCTTTTTTATTTTCTATCAATCATCTCGATTTACTGTAATAGCATAAACTAAAGATTTCTAAAGTAACGTTTGACACGTCGACGTATCGATTGTTGCACTGAATATCACAATATATCATTTAATCATATCCATCAGAATACTCTTGTTTCCGGTCATTGTCATCACAATAGAATCGATTGACTGACCTCTTTTCATTCGGTTGAGCTTTGTCAATTTTTCATGTGCGCAAGTTTTCAATAACTACGCTCGGACGTGCATATTTTTTGATTCGAAAATCTGACCAATGAAATAAAAAAAAAAGGAAGGGAAATAAACAGAGAAGCGAAAAAAAAGGGCGCGATAAGCCACTTTCGTTTGTCGCGGCGCGAATTAGTATGCGGCGCGAAAGGAAGGGAAATAAATAGAGAAGCGAAAAAAAGGGCGCGATAAGCCACTTTCGTTTGTCGCGGCGCGAATTAGTATGCGGCGCGATGCGTGCACACGGGAAAGAGGATTCTATACGTGACGATTTATAAAAAGCTGATGCATTGTGTGTGCGAGATGTGACGTATGACGACGGCGACGACGACGATTCGTATCGCTTGGAAAACATGCGGGAAATTAACGATATTCTTTCTTTATGTTTGTTTTGAAATCCGTATCGTTAGCGATCTCGAAGACAAGGACAATTCGTTAACATCATTTCGTTAAAACTGAATTTTAATTATTACCTCCTACGATCAAGTATAATGAGAAGCATCCATTTCTCACATTTGCATAATCGATTTCACGCGCAACATGAGACCAATATAATGTATGGAGTATTTTGTAATTGATGGGAACAACCGAAAGGTAATGATTCCATGTGAAGAATAAGTACAAAAATTAAATTTTTTATATAAAAAAAAAAATGTGTTTTGTGGAAAATTGACTTTAAAATTTAGAGAATTAATAACAGATTTATTCTGTTTTAAATTTGAATGAATCCTAATGACTTTTTTCGTGTCGTATATATTTGAATTCGTTTCGACAGTGATTATTAATAAAATATAAAGTCAATATTCCATTTACTAAAACAATTTAAAATAATTTATATTATTGAAAAAAACGAGCATAAAAGCATTCATATAAATTTTATTTTTTAATAGAAAAATGTTTTTTTATATATATATTTTAATGTCTCTTTAATCTTTAGCATCTATCTTTTAGATATATTTAGTATTTTTTATATATATAATTTAATGTCTAAAAAGATACAACATATATGTAAAATTTTCGCGAGATAAATCCAATGATGTAAAACAAGATTATCAAAAGTTATTCAAACTTAAAAAAGTATAATACTTATTATTTCAAAGTCTATTTTCTTAAAAAGAAGTCTTAACAAATGATATTATACATTTTTCATTTGTGTGTGTGTGTGTGTGTGTGTAAAGAGAGAGAGAGAGAATCATTACCTTCTCAGTTGTACACCATTAGTTATAGGACACCCAAGATTAAGAAACATGGATTACATGTCAATCGAAATCTCTCGGTTTCGCTGGAAATATCCGACTTTGATCGAATGATACGCGCACGAAGAGACAAAACGCGAATATTTTGCGTAGCACAATTTACTCTTACGCGTTCCTAATGGATGGTTCATAATAGCGGAATTGATGACAAATAATCGAATGGTTATCGTTTAATGATATTCAGTTGTCTACAAATTCGCGTAATAATTATGCGTACGCAAAGCGATGGAAACCGAACGCGATGCGGCCCCTCAGCCTAATTTCGATAATTGAATTAACAGCGCGGAGCATTGATATACAGACAATCTGCACTTCAGCGCGTTACATCTGATATGAATGAAATTCGTCAGAGTGTGCGCGAGGGCATGATTCCGATAATTTTGGCGACATGATTTAATAAATATTTTTAGCTATTCGATTACCTATAAAATACAATATGAAATGTCCTAGAATGCGATAGCTTTTCGTTTTTCAAGTATAAGCATTATTATATATATTTTATTATATATTTTTATTGATGACTTAGAAACAGTCGCAGGAATTTTTCGTTTTCATCATCGTTCACAATATTCAAATTTCAGAAAACATTCTCATATCGTTTTGTCAAAGTTATCAAAATTGCTCTGAATGAGATAAAAAAAAAAACGTGGAATTATATCTGGTGTAAGCGCGAAGCAGACCATCTTCGTCGGGATTGCTTTCATCGGCTAACGTCGACGACCGATTGACGATGCGGACTACTTCTCTCGTATGTAAATATGTACTTAAAAAGAAGGCTGTTTAGTTGTTTAGTTGGTCTGGACAATACACGACGATCACGACGTTATCGCGTTTACCATTGTATCACGATTCATTTTGTACGATACGCCTGTACATGTTTGCCTGCGCGTGTGTGTACAACCTTGACTAACTGCACCGTGACGGTGAACGCGATGTTAGAGTCAAGGTAAGTAGCGTCGGAATTTAGTGTGTCACATTTAGACATCATAAACGAGCTCGACCGAGCACGTCGCGACGTCGCAAATACATTACATAAGACGCCCGCTGGTAGTTCGTTAAATCGAGCCATAATGCTTGAACGTGTTGCTACCAACATCGCGCGCGCATACTCCACCATGTCATCTTAATACATGCAACTTATTGTCATTGTAACGTTACTGCCTAGTCAATGTGAAGAAGAATTCCTTGTTCTCTAAGCCAACGGCTGTGCATACGCCGCGAATTTATATGCGTGTGCGTGAAGGACATCTTTCCTCGATCTAGAAAACCTTTCGAAGACGTTGAAATCGTCAAGGTAAAAGAAAAAAAATTTTCGAACCTTTATTATAATTATCGTTTACACATTTTGTACTTTACAGTCTTTGTCAGGTGTGATACGTGAAATAGCGAAAATATTGAGAAAAAAAATGAATCTCAGAGAGATAGAGAGAAAGAGAGAGAGAGAGAGAGAGAGAGAGAGAGAGAGAGAGAGTCTCTGTGAGTGTCTCTCAGAGTGTGCCTGTGCTAATTACGTTCGTAAATCTCACGCGAGACCGCCGCGAAGATGGCCACGCGCCAAATCGGATAGTTTTAACGTAATCTTAAAATATTCCGCGTCCCTCCGCCCGTCCCGCGAGGGTGCACGAGGGTACATACGTTATGTACGAACAGAATCGAGCGCGCGTGATGACTTTTCCGATATTCGATTTGCCGCTCGACCCGCGAACATTCTCATTAACCTTTCAAGTCGAACGCGAACGGGAGTGAATTGTTCTTTTTTTAATGATCCCACACGCGGCGGCGTTGTCGCGCGATAATTACGACATATTACGCTTTTTCCGCTTTTTTTTCTCTCTTTCTGTCTTCTTCCTAACATCCCCGTGCGCATCTGTCCGCGGAGATCACACGCGGACGAATCGCATATCCTGCTCGGGATGCGTCCAAAAGTCCTCTACGAACGCGTGCAACGCTTCTGCAATACTCGAGGACTCGCTTCCTCCAAGCGACCACTTCCGATACAATCGTTACCGTTTCGAATATCGAGCCGACAAACTTTTCTGTTGGCATTTACGTCTGCGTGAAATGTCTTCGAGGCATCCTCGCGATCGAAGAGCGAAAGTTGTATATCAGCTACCGAAATTGATGCAGCCCGAGTTACGGCGAAGAAATATTTCAAATTTTACATTCTTGAAAGATACTAACATAATATTAAGCTGCTAAATTAAGTAACTTGAGACACTAAATTAACGAACGGTTATTTTTTCTGGGACAATAAAATTTATAATACTGTTTGTCGTAACTCGAAGGATCACTCCTGGCGCTTAGTTGAGACTTGACTTTCGCGTTTCGATTCCGCGAATCCAAACAAAAGATATATGTGGATCGCCTTATAGAGAGAGGAATCAATCGATAATTCTGAGTTGTCGAATAAATTGACAATGAAAAGTACCGCAAATATCGAGAGAGAGAGAGAGAGAGAGAGAGACTGATTCCTTCCTGAATAATGCGCGCCACATCTTCGCGCAACACAATATTCCGATATGCTATCGTTGAAGGTATCAACAATCACGTGCGACTAGAGTAATTTATTCTAAAACTTCATACATACACACCCATTTACACACACACAAACATACATACATACATGCATTGTAAATATGTCAATATCAGAAACAAGATCTTCCGGCCAGGATGCCGCGTCCAAGCGTGATCGATTCGGTCCGAACGAGAATAGCTTCGTCTGTATTTAGCGATCTCTCTCGCGAAAAGAAGACGGAATCTCGAAGTTATAGCTGTGAATATGTAAGTAAGCGGAAAAAACGTGGCGTACGTGAAAGCGCGGTTTGTCTCGCATCGGGGGAAACCGATCGGAAGTGTCGGAGTGGCGAGGAAACTTTAAGGCTCTCTCTTTCCCAAATCGGCCTTCGGTGGTACATAAAAGACAGAAGACAGAGGGAGAGAGAGAGAGGGAGAAAAGAAAATCACAGAAGCTCGTAGTAGAGAAGAGAAAGTATGAAAAGGGGGATAAAAGGAAGTCGAATCAAAGCGAACCCATTCACTGATGTGAGGAGAAGCGTGTACGAATGGAACTGTTCGTGCGAAAGTTTCGAAAAAAAAAACTTTCGCAGATTCGACGTTCGCAATCTCAACCGCACGGAGATTCCCTCCCGTCAAGGTCGCCCTCCCACGTCCCTCGGTGAACCCCAATGCGAGGGGGGTAATATCGAGAAGATCGGGCCATCGGCCGATATGGGCGCGATCAGTAGCGCGAAGAAATGCGGTACGATTCGATTTGCGATCTGATCTGGTGAAATGGCAGAGAAAGAGAGAGAATCTCTCTCGACGGATACTTGGTTACGTAGATTTGAATTTTAGATGCGATCGTTCGCGTCTGTTAATTGTAGAGAAGCACGATTGGATGGCGAATTTATAAAATTAGTTGAATTGACTGTCGAATGATGAAATGGATTCGATAAAGTACCGATAATGAATCGCGTACAGTCTCAGTAAAAATTCGAACATTGCTACATACACAATGTGATGAATGCGGTTTCACGAGTTTAAAAGAAGTAAATCTACGAAGATCGCGCGTACCTTTCATAACATCTCAAAATTTTTTTTGTTCACTTTAAATAAATATTTAATGATTAATCTAATAATGTATACTAATGTATACATGCTAATTTCATACAAAATTATCTTGATATTAGATTGATAATATATGACACGAGGAGAAATAATTTAATTGTCAACTATAAGATATAATTTCACTTATCTTTTATACCAAGTATATAGTCGAGGTAGAGAATAAATTCGAAAGCGAGAAGCTGCCATTACACGCAGTTTCTTCAGCAATTTCTTATGCTCTCTCGAGCTCTACGTCTCCTATGTACGAGCTATGGAGCGGACTGTTCATGATGTTATGTTCTCTAAACCTTGTCGCGCGAAGTCATCGGATCGCATATCGGCGTATCGTCAGTTCCGTTTGTTGGACGCGTTACTTAATAAATGGCCGTGTAAATATTATATCGAATTATACTTCGATCATCTCTTTCATTCGTGCGAGAGTAAGTAGCTAAAATTTATGCCGAATAAGGAGACAGAGTGATAAGATATGTCGCGACAATGATGTTAAATAAAAAAAAAAAAAAAAAAAAGAATCAAGGTAAGTAGCGTCGGAATTTAGTGTGTCACATTTAGACATCATAAACGAGCTCGACCGAGCACGTCGCGACGTCGCAAATACATTACATAAGACGCCCGCTGGTAGTTCGTTAAATCGAGCCATAATGCTTGAACGTGTTGCTACCAACATCGCGCGCGCATACTCCACCATGTCATCTTAATACATGCAACTTATTGTCATTGTAACGTTACTGCCTAGTCAATGTGAAGAAGAATTCCTTGTTCTCTAAGCCAACGGCTGTGCATACGCCGCGAATTTATATGCGTGTGCGTGAAGGACATCTTTCCTCGATCTAGAAAACCTTTCGAAGACGTTGAAATCGTCAAGGTAAAAGAAAAAAAATTTTCGAACCTTTATTATAATTATCGTTTACACATTTTGTACTTTACAGTCTTTGTCAGGTGTGATACGTGAAATAGCGAAAATATTGAGAAAAAAAATGAATCTCAGAGAGATAGAGAGAAAGAGAGAGAGAGAGAGAGAGAGAGAGAGAGAGAGAGAGAGTCTCTGTGAGTGTCTCTCAGAGTGTGCCTGTGCTAATTACGTTCGTAAATCTCACGCGAGACCGCCGCGAAGATGGCCACGCGCCAAATCGGATAGTTTTAACGTAATCTTAAAATATTCCGCGTCCCTCCGCCCGTCCCGCGAGGGTGCACGAGGGTACATACGTTATGTACGAACAGAATCGAGCGCGCGTGATGACTTTTCCGATATTCGATTTGCCGCTCGACCCGCGAACATTCTCATTAACCTTTCAAGTCGAACGCGAACGGGAGTGAATTGTTCTTTTTTTAATGATCCCACACGCGGCGGCGTTGTCGCGCGATAATTACGACATATTACGCTTTTTCCGCTTTTTTTTCTCTCTTTCTGTCTTCTTCCTAACATCCCCGTGCGCATCTGTCCGCGGAGATCACACGCGGACGAATCGCATATCCTGCTCGGGATGCGTCCAAAAGTCCTCTACGAACGCGTGCAACGCTTCTGCAATACTCGAGGACTCGCTTCCTCCAAGCGACCACTTCCGATACAATCGTTACCGTTTCGAATATCGAGCCGACAAACTTTTCTGTTGGCATTTACGTCTGCGTGAAATGTCTTCGAGGCATCCTCGCGATCGAAGAGCGAAAGTTGTATATCAGCTACCGAAATTGATGCAGCCCGAGTTACGGCGAAGAAATATTTCAAATTTTACATTCTTGAAAGATACTAACATAATATTAAGCTGCTAAATTAAGTAACTTGAGACACTAAATTAACGAACGGTTATTTTTTCTGGGACAATAAAATTTATAATACTGTTTGTCGTAACTCGAAGGATCACTCCTGGCGCTTAGTTGAGACTTGACTTTCGCGTTTCGATTCCGCGAATCCAAACAAAAGATATATGTGGATCGCCTTATAGAGAGAGGAATCAATCGATAATTCTGAGTTGTCGAATAAATTGACAATGAAAAGTACCGCAAATATCGAGAGAGAGAGAGAGAGAGAGAGACTGATTCCTTACTTTATAATGCGCGCCACATCTTCGCGCAACACAATATTCCGATATGCTATCGTTGAAGGTATCAACAATCACGTGCGACTAGAGTAATTTATTCTAAAACTTCATACATACACACCCATTTACACACACACAAACATACATACATACATGCATTGTAAATATGTCAATATCAGAAACAAGATCTTCCGGCCAGGATGCCGCGTCCAAGCGTGATCGATTCGGTCCGAACGAGAATAGCTTCGTCTGTATTTAGCGATCTCTCTCGCGAAAAGAAGACGGAATCTCGAAGTTATAGCTGTGAATATGTAAGTAAGCGGAAAAAACGTGGCGTACGTGAAAGCGCGGTTTGTCTCGCATCGGGGGAAACCGATCGGAAGTGTCGGAGTGGCGAGGAAACTTTAAGGCTCTCTCTTTCCCAAATCGGCCTTCGGTGGTACATAAAAGACAGAAGACAGAGGGAGAGAGAGAGAGGGAGAAAAGAAAATCACAGAAGCTCGTAGTAGAGAAGAGAAAGTATGAAAAGGGGGATAAAAGGAAGTCGAATCAAAGCGAACCCATTCACTGATGTGAGGAGAAGCGTGTACGAATGGAACTGTTCGTGCGAAAGTTTCGAAAAAAAAAAACTTTCGCAGATTCGACGTTCGCAATCTCAACCGCACGGAGATTCCCTCCCGTCAAGGTCGCCCTCCCACGTCCCTCGGTGAACCCCAATGCGAGGGGGGTAATATCGAGAAGATCGGGCCATCGGCCGATATGGGCGCGATCAGTAGCGCGAAGAAATGCGGTACGATTCGATTTGCGATCTGATCTGGTGAAATGGCAGAGAAAGAGAGAGAATCTCTCTCGACGGATACTTGGTTACGTAGATTTGAATTTTAGATGCGATCGTTCGCGTCTGTTAATTGTAGAGAAGCACGATTGGATGGCGAATTTATAAAATTAGTTGAATTGACTGTCGAATGATGAAATGGATTCGATAAAGTACCGATAATGAATCGCGTACAGTCTCAGTAAAAATTCGAACATTGCTACATACACAATGTGATGAATGCGGTTTCACGAGTTTAAAAGAAGTAAATCTACGAAGATCGCGCGTACCTTTCATAACATCTCAAAATTTTTTTTGTTCACTTTAAATAAATATTTAATGATTAATCTAATAATGTATACTAATGTATACATGCTAATTTCATACAAAATTATCTTGATATTAGATTGATAATATATGACACGAGGAGAAATAATTTAATTGTCAACTATAAGATATAATTTCACTTATCTTTTATACCAAGTATATAGTCGAGGTAGAGAATAAATTCGAAAGCGAGAAGCTGCCATTACACGCAGTTTCTTCAGCAATTTCTTATGCTCTCTCGAGCTCTACGTCTCCTATGTACGAGCTATGGAGCGGACTGTTCATGATGTTATGTTCTCTAAACCTTGTCGCGCGAAGTCATCGGATCGCATATCGGCGTATCGTCAGTTCCGTTTGTTGGACGCGTTACTTAATAAATGGCCGTGTAAATATTATATCGAATTATACTTCGATCATCTCTTTCATTCGTGCGAGAGTAAGTAGCTAAAATTTATGCCGAATAAGGAGACAGAGTGATAAGATATGTCGCGACAATGATGTTAAATAAAAAAAAAAAAAAAAAAAAAAAAAAAAAAAAAAAAAAAAAAAAAAAACAGGTGTCGTTTATACACCTGCATACGTATACACTAACGCGTACATAAATAAGGGACAAACATACGGACACATAGGCGAAATTGCGTGGAAGTCCCTTCCTTAACTAATGCGCAGGACGAGACACACGACTAAAAGAACGAGATCACCCTCGCATCCATCGGTCGACTTTACGTTTCTTCGCGATACGTCGCGTTGCACGCGACGATGTGTAATGAGTTTCTATCCGTTTTACATTCCTAACTCGTTGTGTGTTACGTTCACACCACGTACCATTTATAGATAGGCTAATATACCTAATAAGTGTTTCGTCTAGCCTATGATGTATATTGTACCTATAATCAGAAATAAATTATCAACAGTATAAATCTCGTTTTGATATTTTCCAATGACATTGGAGTTTACGCCATCATCTCCCCTGCCAAACGAGACGAGTGTCATTTTCCTCGCACAACGTAAGTATTCTAAATATATTAAAACTAGGCGCGAATCGATGACATTATAAACTGATTTTTTATTTTAGCAATATAAAATAAAAATAAAATTTGTATCAATAAAAAACTTGATATATTTTTCTGTTATTTATATTATTATTTGTTTGATGGAGAATGGCTTGTTAAAATAAGCTGCATGGCTGATTGAAAATAAGAAAGAAAAATAATGTTAAGAAATAAAATTTCATAAGAGATGCATGAGATAGCAGATTTGCGAACCTTGGACTTTTAATTGAAATGTCAAGTACGTATATCTTGAAATACTTAGAATTTTAAGATCGCTCGCCATAAACGACTGAAAATCCGATCGTTAACGCAATGGTAATAATTATATACTAAAAATCGCTCAAATCTTCGCGTAAGAATGACAAACAAAATGGATAAGAATGCCGTCAGGATTGCCCGATAATTATAGACTAATTAAAATCGATGATACGAGGTCCCTCGTTAATCGCCGTCTCGAGCATACATACATTTTCGAGGCTCGCGCGCGATGGAGAACGACGCCGATGAGGGATAAACGTTGGGCACGCAAGACGCGAATTTGCATGGACGATGCATTATCTCTACACGTGTAATGTGACATCCCCATCGCGCCGATTACCGAAGGGAAAGCCCGCTCGCAATTAGACCGCCTGCGGTTTAACCTCGGCTTGATCTCGGGACGATTACTCTATTCCTACTCGCTGTCGGGTCTCGCTAAATCTTTTAATTTGTCTAAGGACTCGCTGATTTGTTACGGCCACACGCATGTGCGTGTAAGAAAGTTCGCGTGTTCTTGTGAGAACTTTATTCTTTAAAAGTAAGTGACGCGAAAGATCCCGCCAGGCTGGTTCCATTTTACATATTCACGATTTCGAGAGATGCTCTCATATCAAAATATTTCTGCGTTCTAGTTATTCTGAACGAACTGCCAAACTCTTTTGATATTTTTGTGTTTTTCCAATAAATTTTTACTCATCGACTTGGTGTGCGAATAAAGATACCGACATGTCAAAGTTCAGATATCTTGTTATTTTTTTTTTTTTTTTTTTTTGTTACGCCTACGTAAAATAATATATATTATTTCTCGCGAAAAAGAGCCGAATGATGTATCGAGGCAGCGAAAATTTCCCCGAATTTGCTTGAAAAAAAGAGAGGCTATTAAAATAGTATATTTTCGCCGAACCGCGATTTGGGAAGAATTCCTGTCGAGCGACAGGATGCAAGTTATCGAGAAAAATGCGAAATATTTCGCGTAATTTGTTCGTCGATTTCTTTCTGTGCAAATCGCGAGGAAAACAAATCGAAGAAAGGAAAGCAAACATTCGTTACGTTTTCATCCGTAGTGAAAACTTTTGACTTAATCTGAATACGATTTGTTTTTTATGTAACAAAAATCTGGAAACATCTATCATCATAAAATTATGGGCGAATAAAATTGAACAGCATTTCGCGAACCCAGTTCCCAAGTTGCTAATGAATAATAAAACCTTATTCTTTGGTTAATTTTAAGTGAACTTTAATTAAAGAGAATTTTAATTTACGGCTTAGTTAGCGGAATGTTTAATATTGGATACTGAAAAATTAAAAAGAGAAGAGATACTATGCAATCAAAATTTTCCTTAAGAAGAAATCGGCGCCGAGTTAATCAAAGAATCTTACTACGTGGAATAATTATAACGTTTATAATCGTGGATTACAAATTCATCAACAAACTATGTAATCTTGTTTCAGGAAAGAACTTATAATAATAAAAAAAATAAAATGTAAGAAAACGGACAAGTCAACAAGCAAAAACAGATAAACGGAAATAAAAATCATCTTATATACAATACAAAGGACTATCAATTAAATACTGTGTATTACGCGCCAATGATCTTTAATGAAATCATGTTCATTACCGATAAATTAAACTTCCATAGTTTGATCCGGTCCACATATTTTATGAATGTATATATAAGAATTTTTCTTTTGGGAACTTCATTTAGACGATATTATATACCAACTCTCCGCTCTTTTTATTCTTCTCTTCTACAAGAATCATCGTCAATTTTTCACACATATCAATAAAAAAAAAAATTAAAACCGAGTGCGATCATAAATAGTAATAGGAAGAAAACGATACAGCTACTGCTATCCCTTGACCTGTCATTGCTCCGAAGAGGGAGGAAAGAAAAATCGAGGACGCGTATACAACGGTAATGTCAGATGACCTCGTGTCATATATATCAGGTCGAAAACGGAACTCAAATGTGGATCGGACACAGTACGTATTTGCTGCGTATCGAGCGGAAGAATGAAAGAAAGTAGGCGGACGGGCCTCTACATGGCCGTTTATTCAGGTATCGGTAGGCGGACGGATAAGGGGTGAGCCTGGCGCAGCGCGCGCTTTCTGTGGTATTGATTACAGCCTCCTATCCAGGTGCACAAGCAGGGTCAAATCTACCCCTCTCTCCACCGCCGTCACCTCCTCCTCCTCCTCCTCATCCGCCCCTTCCACTGCCATCTCTTCATCGCTTTTCCTGGTCTCTCTTTCTCCACTCCCTCTCATGTCCGACTCTCTCTTTCTCACACACACACACACACACACCATCTCACCTTTTCTTCCCTTTTCTCTCCAATGACTCGACCTCTCCTTCACTACCAACTACTATCTCATTTTCACTCTCTCTCTTTCCAATTGCAAATCGGTCCCAGGGCGTGCGTTCCACGCGCAATTTGTCAGGATAGAAAATGTCGTAGAGAGTCGGAAGAATATTCTCGAGCTTTCGCGCGTATTCATCAGAGACGGAGGAATTTAAAAAACACCCTGTGTACGCGCGATATTTATTCAAACGTCACGAAAATAATTCTGAAAAAAACATCATCGTCTCGAATGATACTTGACTCTCGATACAATTCACAGTCTATACGACGACGAATCGCAACAAAATATGAATCGCCAAGTATCGACGTGGGCCATCAGGTAGATTATTCTAAATTCTAAACAATTCCCTTCGTCGTCTTTTCGCGTCAACGTGTTCTTTTTTTACCACGCCGTGGTGAGGGCGTAAGGGAAACGGAGCAACACACGGCGAGGAACTGCAATTCCCAGTGCGACCCTGATATTTATCTCCGGGTCGCCACATACGTTCACCTTCATTTGTACGTACATACGTCGCATCGTACATACATCTCGTTTCGATATAGGGTCGCAGACTCGGATCGACCGATTCATCCTCATTACGTCGTCGGAATGGAATGAATCTTAGCGGCATCGATCGTCACCAGCCAGTGTCAGCCAAGTCAAGCCAAGCCAAGCTAAGCCAAGCCAACCAGCCGGGAGATCGCCGGGAGAGAAAGAAAGAAAAAGGAAGAGAAAGAGAAAGACTGTATGTGTGTGCATCGAGCCATCTCCGCTACCGACTATCGTACCAGCAACAACAATCTCTCGCCTGCCGAAGAAAGGTCCGTAGTTTTTTCCGGGAATTTCCGCGACTCGCTACTACTCTTGCCGTAATTAGATCGCGCTGCCTCTTTCACGAAGGCAAAAGGAAGAACGAGTCCTCTCCTCTCTGGCCTCGTTACAAACCTACCAACATCAGCAAGGCCGTACTACACGTTCGCGATGTCCGATACGTCCGTATCGGCTTCGTCGATTTTTCACTCGTTAGAGCACTCGGGGACTTGTCGCCGGCGCCCCCGGTAATGCATTTATGTTAATACGGAAGTCCGTTCTCTCGCGGCGCGGGACGGCGAATGGAAATCGGAAGGGCGGACCTCAGGGTGTAGCGCCGGGTATATTTATCGGGCAAATATGCAATGCGCATTTCACGATGAATTATCGACGCGAACCGTAGTCGATAACGTGTCTCGATTAAATTTCAGCAACGTACTATAGCCCCGCTCTCTCCACCGCTCGAAAACTTACGCCTGTCTATATTCTTCAAATGACGTGAATTTTTTATTTTTAACACGGTATATTAGAGACCCTATAATTTATAACTCGATATTCCCTCCGGATGTAAAATCTGCCTTTTCGATTTATCAATCGAGGAATAAATGGGAAAGGGAAGGGGACTTCGGAAGGGGATGTCGCGATATAATTCGACGCGAAATTACACATCGGGGAGGGAATCGTCGCCGCCGTTTGCGCAATGAGGATGCATGTCGGCTTAATTAACGCATGGACCGACACCGTAGTACGGGGGGGGGGGGGGGGGCGCGCGGTCTAGGCTTGAAAAATACGTTCGTCCCGTTATACGGATCGATATTAGCAGCTGGCGGACCGTTATTAAGAACTGACATTACCGGTAGCAATTTACCGCGGCCAACCTCGAATGACTCCCAATCCAGCGCTTGTATAATGCCGAGCTGCTCGCCGTAACGAATATATTTCCGCAGTTTGCGACGTGACGAATTATATTTGGCGAATAGAAATTGTTAACGATTCTCCGGAGACTCGCACCACCGAACGTTCGACCGCGCGTTTAACGTTAAATGCGGTTTTTTGATTCGCGTTACGCGAAGTTTACC